CACCATCCCTGAGGGGAATAGGAAGATGGGAATGTGTGTGTCAGTGTGGGAGATTTTATTTATTCATTCATTTATTTCATTTATTATTTAATGAGGATGTTGGAAGTCTGGACATCGAATAGTCTTGACTTTATTTCTTCCTCAAGGGGGTCTTGAAACCTCACAGGCCCTGTAGTGATGCCACCATGCCTGAAGGAAATAGGAATATGTGTGTCAATGTGGGAGATTTTACTTATTTTTTTCCATTTATTTCATTTGTTTATGTTGTGAAGAGGTTGGAAGTCTCTGGGCATCAAATAATCTTGACACTTATTTCTCCCTCAGGTGGGTCTCCATGACTCACAGGCCCTTTAGCAATGCTGCCATCCCTGAGGGGAATAAGAAGATGAGACTGTGTGTTTCGGTGTGGGAGATTTTATTTATTTATTCATTTATTTCATTTATTATTTCATAAGGACGCTGGAAGTCTGGGCATCAAATAATCTCGACACTTTTATTTCTCCCTCAGGTGGTCCTCGCAGCCTCACTGGCCCTTTAGCGATGCCACCATCCCTGAGGGGAACAGGAAGATGGGAATGTGTGTGTCAATGTGGGAGATTTTACTTATTTATTCATTTATTTCATTTATGTTATGAAGAGGCTAGAAGTCTCTGGGCATCAAATAATCTTGACACTTTTATTTCTCCCTCAGGTGGGTCTCCATGACTCACAGGCCCTTTAGCGATGCCACCATCCCTAAGGGGAATAAGAAGATGGGAATATGTGTGTCATTGTGGGAGATTTTACTTATTTATTTATTCATTTATTTCATTTATTATTTAATGAGGGCATAAAATAATCTCGACACATTATATCTCCCTCAGGTTGGTTTCCGTGGCTCACAGGCCCTTTAGCGATGACACCATCACTGAGGGGAATAGGAAGATGGGAATGTGAATGTCAGTGTAGGAGATTTTATTTATTTATTAATTTATTTCATTATTGTTTAAAGAGGAGGCTCGAAGTCTCTGGACATCGAATAATTTCACCTTTTTAGTTCTCCCTCGTGAGAGTCTCCAATTCTCATAAGCCCTGAGGGAAATAAAAAGATGGAAATGTGGTGAGAGGGGATATATTTTATTTAGTTATTTATTTAGTTATTTTATGAGGAGGCTGGAAGTCTCTGAACATCAAATAATCTTGATCCTTTATTTCTCCCTCACAGGGGTCTTGAAGCCTCAGAGGGGAATAGGAAGATGGGAATGTGTGTGTCGGTGTGGGAGATTTTACTTATTTATTTCATTTATTATTTAATGAGGGCATCAAATAATCTCAACACATTATATCTCCCTCAGGTTGGTTTCCGTGGCTCACAGGCCCTTTAGCGATGACACCATCCTTTAGGGGAATAGGAAGATGGGAATGTGTGTCCCGGTGTGGAAGATTATTTATTTATTCATTTATTTCATTTGCTTATGTTATGAGGAGGCTGGAAGTCTCTGGGCATGGAATAATCTTGCCCCCTTTATTTCTCCCTCAGGTGGGTCTCCATGGCTCACAGGCCCTTTAGCGATGCCACCATCCCTGAGAGGAATAGGAAGATGGGAATATGGGAGAGGGGATAAATTTTATTTATTTATTTATTTATTTATTTATTTATTTATTTATTTAATGAGGAGGCTGGAAGTCTCTGGGCATCAAATAATCTCACACCTTTATTTCTCCCTCAGGTGAGTTTCCATGTCTCACAGGCCTAGCCCTGAGGTAAATAAATGGAAAGGGATGTGTGATTTTATTTATTTATTTATTTATTTATTTAATGAGGAGGCTAGAATTCTCTGGATTTCGAAAAATCTCAACACTTTATTTCTCCCCCAGGCGGAGTCTCCATGCGTCACAGGTCCTTTAGCAATGCCACCATCTCTGAGGGGACCATGAAGATGGGAATATGTCAGTGTGGGAGATTTTATTTATTTATTTATTTATTTAATTTATTATTGTTCTGACGAGGCTGGAAGTCTCTGGACACTGAACAATCTCACTCCCTCTTATTTCTTCCTCAGTGGGGTCTTGATACCTCTGTAGTGATGCCACCAGCTATGAGGGAAATAGAAAGAGGGAAATGTGGGGTGAGGGGGATACATTTTATTTATTTACTCATTTACTGTATTTATTTTATGAGGAAGCTGGAGGGTGGATTAGTTGAGATCAACTCGAGGGCAGTTAACAACAATAGTACCTGAAACCAAGCAAGTTATATTGGTGCTACAGTTTATTCATGACAACCATATACAAGTTATAGCCATCAAATTACAAAAAAAAAAAATGATTAAAACCTTTAAAAACCTTTACAGTCACAGTTATATCGCAAGTTATATTGGCATCTGAGGCAAAATAAAAATGCCACAAGCCCCTGCTCATCATTCCGCACAATAAAAATGCAATAAAAACTAATGAAATAGCTAACAACCACAAATAAGCAATCTGAATAAGGTGGCTATCTTGTGCTAGGTCAGTCATGACTAAGTAGAGAGGTATTTGCCTCATGCTGCAGAATTTTGATATGAGAAAATACCCAATTGTTAGATGTTATTGTAGTGTTCTGGTGCCAATTAGGGAGAGATGGCCATTTCTTTTCTTTTTTTCTGTCTCAGTGTCTTGGTTATATGCAACTTGATTCAGAGAGGGCTGTTCTGTTTCAGGCAACAAAATGTCTTGGGGTGGCCTAGACTTGGCTCATGACCAGAACGGATGTGCATATGCAAAATCTGAAGAAGAGGTTCTCTCCCTTTCTTGGATCGTGATGCACCAATGGCCAGCCATACCTGCCTGCCTGTTTTGGTTCTTCTTTCTGTCTCACACACGTCCAAATAATAATAATAATAATAATAATAATAATAATTGCATATATTATATATAATATAGGTTATAGCTGTGGATTCTTATTGTACTCTTATGGTGCAACATCTAGGAACAGAGCCAATGAGGTATAGTGGTTTGAGTGTTGGACTACAACTCTGGAGAACAGAGTTCAAATCCCTGCTTAGACATGGAAACCCACTGGGTGACCTTGGGCAAGTCACACTCTCTCAGCCTCAGGGGAAGGCAATGGCAAACCTCCTCTGAAGAAATCTTGCCAAGAAAAACCACATGATAGCCTTTGGGTCACCATAAGTCAGAAGACACATAAAAATAACAGCAGAACCTAGGAATTGTGTGTTCGTCATAATAACAGGCGTATGTCAGTTGGTAAAGCCTCTGACAAAGAAGCTCCTTTTTGTGTCTTTTTAACCCCCCAGCTCCTTCCTCATCCTCTTTATAGCTGAAGATTTTTAGCAGCATCCGCATTGAGAGGTGGTAAAGGAAGAGTAGTAAAACACAGGTCTTCAGTGCTGAATTGAAGCAGCATAACTACAAGAAACAATGCAATAAAACTTGAACTAGAAAATACAGTTATATACTCTCGTAGTGTGCCCTCAAGCCATTTCTAACTTATGGTAACTCTTAAATTGAACCCATCACATGGTTTTCTATAGGTGTTTCTTTGTTTGTTTTCTCAGCACGATTTGTTCAAAGAGGAGTTGCTTTTGCTTTCCTTTGAGTCTGAGAGATAATGACTTGCCCAGGGGTCACTCACTGGGTTTCCATTCTTGAGCGGGGATTTGAAACCTGGTCTCCTGGAATTCTTGTTGAATATTCACCCTCTACACCTCAGTAGAGAGTCATTATGGTGTAGTGGTTTGAGCATAGGACTAGGACTCTGGAGACTGGGGTTAAATTCACTACTTGGTGATGAAAACCCACTGGGTGATCTTGGGCAAGTCACACACTCTCAGCCCCAGAAAATCCTGTGATAGGGCTGTCTTAGGGTCAGAAATGACTTGAAGGCACACAGCAACACCTCAGTGGCCCTAGCTGATCCTACTATACCTGTGTGCACCTGTCTGTGCTGAAATTGTATGAGCAACAAAACAAAGAGAAAAAGAGATTAACCTGCCTCACCCATTCCTTCCAGCATGATTGTAATCTATAAATCTGGCCACCAAAATGGAAATGATCAGAAAAGTGGAGGCTGGTGAAAGAAATTGTAATCTCTGAGAGCAGTATGCAAAGGGATCTTGTAGCACCCTTTGAGACAAAGTGGGAAAGAAAGAAAGAACTTGTAGCATAAGCTTTCGCTCAGTCTCAAAGGTGCTATAAGAGTCCTTTGACCTTAATATATTTTACAAGATACTTTTAAGTGGTCTCTCAAAGGTTCTTCAAAATGTTTTGTTTACTAATGCAAGGCTTAGCTGACCTGGTTGTTTCATTCAGGATGTGCATGTTGTTAGTTTTGAATAAAGCGTTTGATGAAACGTTGGAACAGCTCTCATTTTTTGGTAAAATCTATTCCTCATTCTTTCCATTCTATTTCTGTTTCTGTTACCAACTGTTCTGGTAGGAACATATCTACTTAATTAATTCTGAAATACTTGTACACCCAGATGTTGGACTACAGCTTCCAACATTACTCACCATTGGTTGTGGTATCTAAGGCTGCTGGAATTGCAGTGAACAACTGCTGAAGATCTTTAAAATTCCCATTCCTGACATTTATGGACTAATCTAGACCAGATGTACAGTGAATTTTCCACATTCAGTGGGATTAGTGGTGCAAGGCCTCATGAAAATGGAAAAATGCAAATAAAAAAAAACAAAACCTTTTTTTAACCTTAGATAACACCTCTCTGGGAATCTCTAGGTCCTCCAGAACAACTCTGGTCAACATCTGCCAGAAGTTCACCATGGAATTGCATTGGAGGATTTGCAAATGCCTAAAGAAGTGTTCTCTTTCTAGGTCCTCCAGCGCAACATCTAACAGACATTGACCATGGATAAGTGCTGGAAGACCTAGAGATTCCTAGAGAGAACATAGTAATGAAAGCCATGAATAATCAGTGCCACAAAAGTCAAAGGTGCAAATGTGGAGGGCCAAATATTATTATGATCATAAGTAAAATATTTCCCTTAGTTCCAGAGTAGGGCAAGGGTAATCTGGAAAAGTCCAGAAGATTGGTCCCCAAGACATTCCTCAATAGTAACCTAGCCTTATGCATTTTAACGTCTAACAAAAGGAAAGAGATATACATATTTCTTTATCCAGAGACACGAGGTTTACTTTGCTGTTATGTACTTTACCCACTAGCTAGGCTGAGATAAGTATATTGCAGTATATAAATATATATAGTATATATTCCAATATAAGTATATCACAGTTGGCTCTTCATATCCACAGATTCTTTATCCACTGATTCAACCATCCACGGCTTGAAAATATTCTAAAAAGATATCAATTCCAAAAACCAAACCTTGTTTTTGCTATTTTATATAAGGGACACTATTTTACTACACCATTGTATTTAATGGGGATTAAGCATCTACTAATTGTTATCCATGGGGGGTGTCCTGGAACAAAAGCCCAGAGGATACCAAGGGCACACTGTACTCCCATCTCTACTGTTCATAATGGTCATTGTGGTTATTTTGTATAGTCTTAAGCTTTAACTGGGGCAGTATCTGATTTGCAGAAATAATGCAATTTGACACCATTTTAACTGGCATGGCTCCATCCTATGGAATCCTAGGATTTGTGGTTTGTTATGGCATTTCAGCTCTCTGACAGAGAAGGTTAAATATCTCACAAAACTACAGTTCCCAGAATCCCATTGCATTGAGCCATGACAGCTAAATTGGTGTCAAACCGCTTTATTTCTGCCCTGCAGATGGAGCCTGAGTTACTACAAGCATTGTTCATCGAATCATATAATTGGGAGAGACCACAAGGGCCATCCAGTCCAACCCCCTTGCCATGCAGGAACTCACACTCGTGTGCCTTCAAGTCATTTTTTACTTATGGCAACCCTATCACAGGGTTTTATTGGCAAGATTTGTTCAGAGGAGGTTTGCCATTGCCTTCCCCAGAGGCTGAGAGAGTGTGACTTGCAAAAGGTCACCCAGTGGGTTCCATGGTCAAGCTGGGAATCAAGCCTTGGTCTACAGAGTCCATAGTCCAACACTCAAACCACTACTGGCTCTCAAATTTGTATATATGTCTGCATATAAATCAATATCATCTATATTGTTTCTCTTTTGAAAAACAGTAAGCTAGAAAGTAAGAGAGTGGGAGAGATTCTTGGTGGCAAGGGGTAAAATTAAGCAGTTGTCCCATCCACAGTTTCCCTCCCACAGATCACTTTAGCCAATTTTGACCAATTTAGAAGTGAAGTGGAAAAACAGCAGTCAGACGCCTGGAAAGGCAAGCGGACTGTACAATTCCAGTCTTGAATTAAAAATGAAAGAAGGAAAGAACTATAACCATCACCAGTTTAGAGTTCAAACTAACACAAACACAAGTAGAAAAATACAAATATAAGAAATGCAAACTGAAATGTAATAAAAAGGAAGGTGTGGTTTCAGTGGGAACCAGATAAAACATAGAGCTATCCTGTGTGCTAAGTCGCCCTCTTCTGACTTTCTAAAGCATTTTTATGTGGATCTACCTGTTTTTTTTTGTTTTGTTTTGTTTGTTGCATTTCTATTTTAATGTCTTGTGTACCACTGTAAAATATTTTCTGATGTGGACTGTAGGCTGGTACAGTCAGCCCTCTACATTTGCGGCTTTGACTTTTTGCGGCTTTGATTATTTGCGGCTTTGATTAATATGTTCACTCTTGGAATTGTTAGGTCCTCCAGAAAAATTCTGCTGGAAACTGACC